TGGAAGCAACTGGGAACAACAGCAACTCAGCCATGCAGTGGTAGACCACGTAAAATTACGGAGCGGGGTCAGCGTATGCTGAAGTGCACAGAAGTCGCCAACTGTCTGCAGAGTCAATAGCTACAGACCTCCAAACTTCGTGTGGCCTCCAGCTTGGCACAACAACAGTGTGTAGAGAGCTCCATGGAATGGGTTTCCATGGCCTGAGCAGCTGCATCCAAGCCTTACATCACCAAGTGCAATGCAAAGCGTGGGATGCCGTGGTGTAAAGATTACTTTTGGTAATATTGTGTACCTGATGGCTACAGCTAAGCACTAAAGTTGCAGTAAAACCTCTCTCTCACTGGAACAACGAAGTGCAGCATCAGGTACTCTTTAATGTATTGCCAAACTGCAGCTGACCTGTATGATTTAGCACGGCTGAGTGTAGACAGCAGACCATCCAGCCCAGAACAAGTAACACACACCCAGAAAAAAAAAGAGCTATGTGTTTATATATAGGCATATTGGTACATAGAATGCGTACATATGTTAAATGTGATTTAGCACGAAAATACAGTCTTTATATAACCCAAGTACAGAGATTTTTTTTTTTAAGAGGAGGAAAAACAAAAGAAAAAAAAAAAAAAAGGCTTCTCAGCTGGAATACAAATATACAGTACAAATTGATTTATTTAAAACAGTTACAAAAAAGCACAACAAAATATAGATTAATGCTCTGTTAAAGATCAGGTAGCATAAAAGGATAGAAGCACCTGCCTAAATCTAAGGCTTTGAAGGATGCATAATAGGTTATTGGTTAATTATATGAAACATATGATCTGGAGCCTGAATAGAATGACCTTTGAAATATGTGACGTCAATGACGAAGGGCTGCACCATGGCTCTGGCTGAAGCTGTACTTTCATCTAACACTTGTGTGTGAAGACCGTATAGAACTTGCCTTCATGTTCCTCTTTCTATCCCCATAAGGCCTACTGAGAAAAAAAAGAGCAAACATTGGGTGCAACCCACTATAAAATTGCTTAAAATCTGTCTTCAGAGTTTGTGGTTTGATGTTCATTATTTTATCCAGTCCTCCTTAAAACTTCCTAACGAGCATACTGATGTACCCGTCTTCATCTGCCTTTAGAAGCTCCGGGGATGAAAATACTCTGCGACCGCTGCTATGACAGATGCAGGTGACAATACTTTTTTGGAAGTTCAGTTTTAGCCGTGCTGCCAAACTGAATCACTCACTGGCTTCTTAAGCTCTAAAAGAACTCCAGGAGTGAGGACACCACCACAACCGTGGCCATCGTGAACCCCAACAATCAAGTCATAATGCCATAAGTTCTGGCCTCTGACCAAAAGATAGAGGAATCCAAAATTTCATTCAGCTCACCATCGCTGTTTTGGCCAAAAGCGGCCTTCACCATGAACCTGATTTGCCTGTGGAGGATGAAGAAATGGGTTCACTTTACCTTCTTCTCTCCCCAGCTGCATATATTCATCTTCTTTGCACTAACCCACCGATTTGCTCAGATGGTGGAAGCGAAAAGAGGTAGGATTGGGTGAGTTCACACATTGATGGAAACTCTCTCTGCCCGCTTGTGACAGTGCTGGGCCAACCTCCCAGCACATGGGAGAAAGGGTAGTGAGCTATATGAGCCCGCCATACCCGGAAGAATTTCTCCTTGCTCCCAGAGGCCAAAAGGAGCCGCAGAATAGCTTTGGCTGTGGGGAAGGAAGAAGGTAAGAATCTGTTGCCTTTCCCAGCATGAGCAAAACACATACTCAAAGGATCTCTATGTCTCTACACTGAAATGTATGCAACAAAGCCCTTTGTTCTTTCTTGAAGCCTTAATAAGCCAAGTTGATTTCATCTTGAATTTGATCCACTAAGTTCCATCTTGCTGTAAATTAGGTAAAGTACCCTCCCTGTCAGCTTTAATTAAGAGAAAGAGGGTACAGTTTTGATACCGACAGAAGCTGCAGCTAGCTTCTATTGTGGTGGGCTGTGCTGAGGCAAGAGATCTTATTTGCTCTTTCACTACCAGACACCAGTGACCACTCAGCCAACATTAGGAAAGAATGGCAGGCCCCTAACTTCAGATTCTATGCACACAGGGACTTACAAAGATGCTTGACGCCAGCAAACACAAGTCCAACCAGTTTTACTGAAGGTGGAGCCAGGGCCGGATTTACTCTCAATGCGCCCCCCTACCGTCAAACCTCCCCCCATGGAGAATGGCAGACCTGCAGGCTGCATACAAGTGATCTCGGTGACATCGCCGGAATCACTCGTACAAAACAAGTGGCGGCTTCCCTACTGTACATTTAGTTCTGCTTGCCCAAAGCAGGGCTTAATGTAGAAAACAACTACCCGCCCGGTGCCCAGAACTGCATGTCCCAGGCATCGGGAGATAGGAATTCCACACCCCTGCCGCCCCTCTACTCCCTGCTGCCCCGAGGCAGGGCCTTGTGGGAAATCCGGCCCTGGGTGGAGCTATGTCAAAAGCTCTCTGGCTATGCCTAGGGGTGTCCAGTGGCCACCTAACCATCAAAGAATTACCATCTGCACCTGTCAGAGAATTATTTGCACCCTACCATCTGTTTATTACAGGCATGTGATCAGATGAAGGCAGAAGCATCATAATACTAGCGGCTACAAGTCCTTGCAGAAAATAGGGGGGGGGGGAATTGAAATGAGGGGCCAGGGATTTTTC